TTTTTTTTTTTTTTCATGTCTTACACAGGCTGCTGTCTCCCTTCACCCACTTTTCAGTTGTCCGTCCTCCTGGGAGGGGTTATATGTAGATCATTGTGATCGGTTCCCCCTTTCTCCCCCCTCCTTCTTTTTACCTTCCTGCTATCGCTACTCTCATGATTGGTCCTGAGGGGTTTATCTGTCCCGGTATACATGCTCTGGTCTAGCCATATTTGTAAGGTAGAATTGGGGTCCTGGTAGTGGGGGGGAAGCATTAAAGAATCAGGAAAGTTGTATGTTTCGTTGGTGCTATAGTGCACCCTGACTGGCTCATCTCTTCCTTGTGACCCATCTGTGAGGGGATGTCCAGTTGTCTACAGATGGGCTTTGGGTCTCCCCTTCACACTCCTCATTCATATCGATAAGATTTTTTTGTTCTTGGTCTTTGGTGTCTGATACCTGATTCCATGGACACCTCATGATCACACAACCGGTGTGCTTCTTCCATGTGGGCTTTGTTGCTTCTCAGCTAGATGGCTGCTTCTTTATCTTCAAGCCTTTAAGACCCCACGGGCACTGTATCTTTTGATAGCCGGGCACCATCAGCTTTCTTCACCACATTTGCTTATGCACCCGCTTTGTCTTCAGTGATCCTGTAGGAAAGGTGAGCATCACAGAATGCCAGGTTATTAGAACAAAGTGTTCTTGCATTGAGGGAGTACTTGAGTGGAGGCCCAATGTCTGCTACCTTAATACTTAACATAAAAATATACGTACATAGGTCTATTTCCCTATCATTATATATAAATATATTTACCTATGTACATGCCTGTATTTAGACCTATATAAATGCCTTTTGCCTCCCAGTTCTTTCCTCTATTTCCTTTTACTTTCCTCTTGACCCACGATCATGTTCGGCCTTCATTTGGGTTTTAGTAATTCCTCTCGACTGCGTTGCCCTTGATCAAATCCCACCAGGCATCCTATGCCCTTCTCGCCATGGATTTTAGATCTCTTATCTAGACAGACATGCAGAGATAATCATGAGCACAAAAACAAGACAAAACAAAACAAAACAACAAAATAAAGTGAAAAACAAAACAACAGTCCCCCTGTTACTTTAGCTTTTTATTGTGTTAGGGAGGGGGTTACATGTCAGATCGCTATCTTTGCATTTTTCAGAGGAGCAAACAGGCTCAGAGAAAGGACGCACTTTGCCCGGTACCAGGGTAGAGAGAGGTGGAGCCAGGATTTGAACCATTTGACCGGCTGTCTTCCTTGCTGTCTCCCCCCACCTCCCCACCCCCCCATACTCTCCCCTCTACCCTGATTAAACTCACTGCCATTGAGTCAATGCCGACTCGTGGTGAGCCGAAAGAACAGAGTAGAATTGCAGAACTGCCCCTGTGGGTTTCCAAGGCTGTAAATCTTTACAGCAGTAGAAAACCTCATCCTTCTCCCAGAGAGTGGTTGCTGGCTTTGAACTGTTGACCTGCATAATCCACTACGCCACCAAGACTCCGGTCGGCCCCGGTTTTACCGATGGTCTCTTCTCCACCCCTACTCTCTTTCTAGGTTCAAGAGCTGATCATCAACAAAGACCCCACACTGCTGGACAACTTCCTGGACGTGAGTGCTCCTTGTGATCAGTTCCCCCTTTCTCCCCCCACCCTCCCTCCCCCTCCTGGTACCGCTACTCTCCTCTTGGGTCCTGAGGGCTTCATCTGCCCTGGATTCCCGGTGTCACAAAGGGGATGCAGGGCTTGGCCGGGAGGAGGTGAGCAGGGAGGATCCTGGCACAGCGCAGACCTGACTTCTTCCCGACTCTTCAGGAGATCATCACCTTCCAAGCAGACAAGTCGATCGAAGTGCGCAAGTTTGTCATCGGCTTTATCGAGGAGGCCTGGTAGGAGGGGGCCTGGGACTGCGGTGGGGTGGGGGTGGGGAGGGGGTAGCTGGCAATCGCACCTAGCTCTCTGGGCCTGGCCCCACCCTCTGCTTCCTACAACTCCGCCTCCCGTCCCTCTCACGCGCACCAGACACACATTTGATAGAAGTTTGGGATCATCAGATTCCTGGTTCTCTCCTTCCTCAGGTCTGCCTCCTCCATCAGAACATTGGCTCTGCCTTTCCAGGCCCTTCCCTTGTCCCTCTCTGAAGAGTCCTTTGCGGGGAACTCTCCCAAGGGGGCCAGGAGTCCCTTTGTTCACAGGTTGGGCACCTGTCCCAGGTGGCAGAGTATACCTGTGTAGCCGGGACCCGGGGCAGTTCCTGCCTTCACGGCGGGGCACAGGTTCTTTTGTGGATCGGGCCGGCACACCCTGGTTTCCAGTTGTAGGAACAACTGTACTGGGACAGTGGTTCCCGCGTCCTGCCCCAGGCTCCAGGAGCAGCTTTCTGTCCCTTTCATGGTCCTTGAATCGGGCTCAGTTTTCTTCTCCAACAAACCACGAGGCCCTCCTAGGAGAGGCCCCAGGTCTCCCCTGAGGGAAAAGCTCACCTTCAGAGCCCTCAGCCTGAGGAATCACGTCTGTGAACCAGACAGGCGGGTAGAGAAAGCAAAGGCCTTTCCCAGGGATCATGGTGGCTGACGTTTACAGCGGGCTGGCTCTCTGTGTGTCAGCAAGCCCCAGAGGCACAGTGGTTAAAGCACTGGGCTGCTAACAAAGGGGTCAATGGTTCAAATCTAACAGCTACTCTGTGGGCAAAAGGTGCAGCCTTCTGCTTGTAGGAAGATGACAATCTCAGAACTGCCCCGTGGGGCAGTTCTCTGTCTGGCAGGGTCTCTGTGAGTTGGAATCAACTGGGGGTATTTGCTTCTATGCACCAGGCATAGTTCTAAACATTTTACAAGTATCCTAATTCAAACAACCACCTACGAGCTCATTAGTAATGGGGCTCACACAGCTCGTATGAACCTCAGGTGGTCTACTGCCTCTGTGAGCTGTGGAGTTGAAAGTAGGGTGGGAATCTGGGTACCCAGGATGGACACACAGAGAGAATGCAGGGGCAGCCCTGTCCGAGGTCACAAAGCGCCGTCCTCAGCTTCCAGGTGTGCCAGCAAGCAAGACAGATGCAGGCCCTGCCCTCCCCCAACTAGCCTCGTGCTGCCATTCCGATCCCCTTGGACACTGGCCAGAATGTTCCACACCCTCCCCGTCCCCGCTCCCCGACCTCAGACCTCATTGACCTTCCTGCCTTCCCTCAGCAAACGAGACATCGAGTTACTGCTGAAACTGATCGCGAACCTCAACATGCTCTTGAGGGACGAGAACGTGAACGTGGTGAAGAAGGCCATTCTCACCATGACCCAGCTCTACAAGGTGGCCCTGCAGGTGAGCCCTCCCTGCCCACCGCAGGACGTCCCATTTCCATACCAGCAAATCCGTTACAAGTCAACGCCACGGTCACATCCACTCCCTACGGGCATGAACGCTCTTGGTCTTGGGGTGGGCATGCAGCAAGGGCGTCCGATGTAGTCTGCACGTCAGGGAAGCACTGTTCTTCCACCCGCCCCCACCTCCATCAACCCGTCCATCCAGTCC